AAATGAACCTTATTTATGTAACCAATATTGCAAATTATTACTCACGTGGGTCATTGTCTTATGTTATTTTATTTAGGATGTTTTACTGTGTTAGAGCTACAATAAGGGGACATGGTGACTTTGTGATAATGTCATTGGACTAGTTATCCAGAGGCCTAGGCAAATGCTTTGAGGACATGACTTCATATCCCACCATGGCAGCTGGTGAAATTTGACTTCTGTTAATAATTCTGGAGTTGAAAACTGGTCCCAGTAATAGTGACCAAAAAACTATCATTAGATGTCATAAAAACCCATCTGGTTCTAATCTCAGAGATTACTAATTCATTCATACATTACTAATACATTCACTAATCTCCATTAGTCAATGAAATCTGCTATCTTTGACTGATTTGACCTACTTTGACTCCAAATCCACAACAATTTGGTTAACTCTTAACTTTCTCTGTCATTATCTAGCTTTCTCATCACTCAATTCAAGAGGCAGTTAGGGATGAACAGCAAGTGCTGGCCTTGCTGGTGATGCTTTCACCTCATGGAAAAATTATTACAATTCAATTGATTTGTGAGCTTTCAGCATGTCTGATCGTAAAAGATTTGCTACTTTTAAGAAAACAAGGTGTAAAGCTGGATGAACACAGCAGGCCAAGCAGCATCAGGGGAGCAGGAAAGCTGACGTTTCAGGTCTGGATCCTTCTTCAGAAATGGCTTTTACCCAACATCCCCTCCACCTCACCCTACTCCGACTTCAGACCCAGCCACTTTTCTCCCTCTGTGTACCTGAACTCCCAGTGCCCCTCAACATTCCAGACCTGACCCTCCTTCACCCCCAGGAGCTAACCCCACACCCAAATTCCTTCAACCATTTGTAGCCAGGTCCTTTCCCCACATCTGCATCTGATCTACCTCTGCCCCCGAAACGTCAGCTTTCCTGCACCTCTGATGCTGCTTGGCCTGCTGTGTTCATCCAGCTCTACACCTTGTTATCTCAGATTCTCCAGCAACGGCAGTTCCCACTATCTCTGAATTACTTTTAAGAAATTCTGTTTTGTGACAATCACTTTAAAAGAGAAGGATTGGATTTTCTGGGCAACGGCAGTGTTACGTAGATTGCTACTCTTTGGAAAATCTGGTCCATCATTTTTTTGGTTGCTACTCAGCCCTTTTTTTGTGAAATGAGAGAGCTCTACGTTTTTCACAGAAGATTTTGTCAGGGTTCCCTAAGAAATGAGAGAGCTGTACTTCCATTTTGACAGTTCATTTGTAGCACAGGACTGTTGAGGGGAAGCAAACCTTGCCCCCTTTCCATAGCTGTCAGCTGCTGTATTTGAAATTTAAAAGTCCAGAATCACTGACAGCCACTTTGACAGCTGCAGTTAAACAGTAAGTATATAAGTTAAGTGTGATGTTATGGTGACTGGATGGTAGTTTTGTCAGATGAATAAGGGGTAAAGTACCAGCTGGGTATGGTGCAATGATGCCAGCTTGATAGGTTGGCAGCTTGGTGAGATTTGGTTACTTTCAATGGTGTGGGAAAGGTGGGCTAATTCTCGAGTCTGGAGGGAGGCAGATCTTGTCCTACATGGTTGAAGGGAGAGCTGGTACATGAGGGGGCAGAGGTAGATCAGATGCGGATTTGGGGAAAGGACCTGGCTACAAATGGTTGAAGGAATTTGGATGTAGGGTTAGCTCCTGGGGGTGAAGGAGGATCAGGTCTGGAATGTTGAGGGGCATTTGGAGTTCAGGAACACAGAGGGAGAAAAGTGGCTGGGTCTGAAGTAGGTGGAGGGGGATGTTGGGTAAATTGACGGTTGATTCAAAGCTGGATAAATAGAGTTAGGTCTGGGGGTAGAAAGGAATGTTAGGTCAGGATCTGGTGGTGTAAGTGGAGTAGAGGGAGTTTTGGGTCGGGTGTTTGCCTTAAGTATATAGGTCAATTGAATAGTACTATATATTTAACAGTCTAACTTTTCCAAAATGACTATTTACTTAATTTCATTGAGCACTGCAAATTTGCTGATTTAACTGGAGTCTTTTAAAGTGTTACAGGCCTGGTGGAATTGGCCAATGGAATCTTCAGTTTCTGAGCAATTCATTTGGATTCTTCAACAATGGTAATTCAGCAGACTTCCTGTGCATAATTCCTAGTCACACTGGAAAAATAACTGTCTAGCAATTGGAAAAGCTAGGCCAATGTTGAATTTTGTCAAACTGGCATTTCTCAGTTCCCATATATCAGTGCTGTTACATTTGTTCCACTTCTCTGGATAATAAATTTCAAGCTGTCTTTAGCTGCCTCCCATTCTATTTATGTCTGAAAACATTTCAGTTGAACTGAAAACTCATGGCCCCTCTTGCCCACTCTAAGGATAGCACTGGAGCCGTCACTAATTCAGCTGAGTTCCTAAAATCTCTGGCTGTGACTTAAACTTGGAATATTTGTCATCACTGTCTGCCCACCTGGATCACAGGCATTGCTTAAAATGGGATTAGGACTGATACAAAAAGAAGTAATGAAATAATGTTATAAGGTCATGCATGAAACCTTAAGAGTTGAATTTGCAGTTTTAAACAAATTGTGCACTGGCTGGAGGTTCTCATCTCAGGAAATTGTATTGAATTAAGATACCACTGGGTGAAGTGCCAAATTAGCCGCTAACCATGCTTCAGGCATCAGCAAGCTTCCTCATTAAAAAAAATCTATTTGAACCGGTAAGAAGTACAGAATTTGATTACCTCAAAGTTCACTACTTTCTTAAAGTTAATAAAAAATAATACTGTTGTGTTGGTCCTCCAATACCTTACCCATCAGAGCTTCTAGAATAATTTTGAGGAGTTATTGGCTAATTCACAAAATCACTATTGGTCCAATGTTCAGGCAAGGAAGGGAACACTTGAGATGATCCCCACTTAGAGTCATACAGTATGGAAACAGAGCCTTTGGCCCAACTCGTCCATGCCTACCAGGTTTTCCTAAACTGAACTAGTCCCATTTGCCTGCATTTGGCTCATATACCTCTAAACCTTTCCTAAACCTACCTCTAAACCTGTTCAAATGTCTTTTAAATATTGTAATTGTACTCATCTCTACCACTTTCTTTGGCAGCTCGTTCCATATAGGCACCACCCTCTGTGTGAAAAGATTCCCCCCAGATTACTTTTACATCTTTCCCCTCTCACCTTAAATCTATGCCCTGCAGTTTTGGACTCCCCAACCTAGGGAAATGACCTTGACTATTCACCTTATTTATGCACCTCATGATTTTGTAAATATCTAGAAGGTTACCCCTCAGCCTTCTATTCTCCAGGGAAAAAAGTCCCAGTCTATCCAGCCTCTTTTTATAACTCAGACCCACTAGTAACATCCTTCTAAATCATTTTTGAACCATTTCCAGTTTAATAACATCTTTCCCACAAAGGGACAACCAGAATTGTACACAATACTCCAAATGTAGCCTTATCAATGCCTCGTAGAGCTGTAACATGATGTCCCAAAGTCCAAAGATGCGCAGGCTAGGTGGATTCGCCATGCTAAATTACCCATAGTGTTCAGAGATGTGTAGATTAGGTGGGTTATAAGGGGATGGGTCTGGGTGGGATGCTCTGAGGGTCGGTGTGGACTTGTTGGGCTGAAGGGCCTGTTTCCACACAGTAGGGATTCTATGATTCTATGAACTCCTGTACTCAGTGCTGTGACCAATGAAGGCAAATGTGCCAAAAGCCTTCTTCACCACCCTGTCTACCTGTGACGCCACTTTTAAGGAACTATGTACCTAATCTCCTAACCCTAACCCTAACCCTAACCCTACTATTAACTGTTACGACCTGTCCCGGCTTGTCTTACCAAGATGCAACACCTTGTATTTATCTAAATTAAACTCCATCTGCCATTCCTCGGCTCATTGGCCCAGTTGATCATACTCCATCGTATTCGTAGCTAACTTTCTTCACTGTCCACTATATCACCAATTTTGGTGTCATCCGCAAACTCACTAACCATGCCTCCTATATTCCCATCCAAATCATTTATATAAATGACAAACAACAGTGGGCCCAGCATCGATCCCTGCAACACACTGCTGGTCACAGGCCTCCAGTCTGAACAACAACCCTCTACAACCACCCTCTGTCTCTGACTTTCAAGCCAATTTTGCATCCAATTGGCTAGCTCTCCCTGGATCCCATGTGATCTAGTCTTATTAACCAGTCTACCATATGGAACCTTGTCAAAGGCATTGCTAAAGTTCATGTCAGCAATGTCTACCACTCTGCCTTCATCTATTTTCTTGGTCTCCTCTCCAAAAAACTCAATTACGTTTGTAAGACACGATTTTCCACTCACAACACCATGCCGACGATCCCTAATTAGTCCTTACCTTTCCAAATATATGTAGATCCCATCTCTTAGAATCCCCTCCAACAACTGATGTCAAGCTCACCAGTCTGTAGTTCCTGGCTTTTTCTTGTAGCCTTTCTTAAATAATGGCACAACATTAACCACCCTTCAGTCTTGCGACACCTCAACTGCGGCTGTCGACGGTTCTCGATGGCTGTCCTTTGGTTCTCCCCTGATCAAATTATGTGAACATGTAGCTATCAAAGGTGGGTTTGATTTTAATGCATTTTGTGGTTTTGTTATTTCCAGTATTCATTGCCAAGACTGAAACGTGGACAGTAGCCAAGTGGCGACTGGCATTGTACAGGGAAGCAATATCTTTAGGAGAGAAAAGAGAAGAAAAATCATCAAAAATATGATTTCTTTATTGACATTCATCTTATTATTTAAGTTATCTTTAAATAATTCATTCCCATTAGAAGCATTTTTGGAATGATACTGCTGAACTAAAAACAAATTTACCTAGGATAAACTCCGAAGGCTGTAACCTCTGCATGTAGGTAATAGGGAAGTATAAAGTGTTCTTAGTTTTATTTAGTGTTTATAGTTATGAATGTTTCTATGATAATTTAGAAGTCTTTACCTTTACCAAATGAAACTGCAGATATTGTGTTGGCGGCTGGCACAAACCGTGCTTTGGAGGTGTTTGATCTGAACGTTGGTCAAAGTGTCGTAACTGTGCCAGATGCTCACACTAGACCTGTGCATCAGATTTGCCAGAATAACGTAGGTCATTCCGTTTACAACTTTGATTCTTTTTAAATGTAGTTAATATATGCTTACTTGAAATACTGGAATATATAACTTACATTGTTACGTAAGTTAAGCGCCCAATTTTATACTGTGTGTTTTCATAACACGACACTTTGGAGTCTAAAAAATGGTACTGCTTGTTTTCATGTACATAATTGATGGGTTACCTCTAATACATGCTAGAATCAGGAGCCCATGGGCTCACCTGAAGTTGGCTGTCTGGCCTCATCTTAATAATCAAGATGAGCTGCTGTTTGGTGCCTGTTGGTCTTGCTGAAACTTATCTCTCAATTTAAGTGCTCACACTAGAGGCACAAAGAAACCCACTCAATGCTTGCAAATAACCTTATGCTTACCATTTAGAATGGAGTGTTAGCTGTGGGCAAGGCCAAAAAGGGCTGTCTGCTCCTTTGCACTTGCACTGGCGAAATGAGTCCGCAGAAATTGCATGTGGGCAGTCATTATTCTAATCACAAATTATTGCTTAAATAGTTTTGACTCTTTATATCTACATCTGACTTTTTACTTTATCTGTACTCATACATTACCTTCTACACTTTTTGGAAAGGAAAAGCTAACAAGGGAAGTCAATTGTGCTGAAAGAATTATTTAATCTTCTTTGGTGGAATAAATTTGCATATTGTTAAAAGGGAAATGGAAGCAAGAAAGAATTGTAATCAGTGTCGAATAGCACAAGTTATGTGGAATATTTTAAATATATTACTAATGAAATTCACATGTTCTGTTCATGTCAAGTCAAAGGAGGCATTGTTGTTCAGTTCAGCCAGTCAAAACTGCACGCCATATCAACATATGGAACTGTACACTTCCTGCTGCTTCTCTAGCCTGGAGCACTAAGGCACTGCTGGACTATGTTAAAAGCAAAACATGTGAATGCTGGAAATCCGAAATAAAAACAGAAAATGTTGGAGGAATTCAAAAGGTATGGTAGCATGTATGGGGAAAGAACTGAAAAAGAGTAATATTGACCTCAAAGTATTAACATTCTCTCACTCTTTCACTGTCTCTCTGTCTCCACACTTGCCACCATATCTGTTGAGTATCTCAGCACTTTCTGTTTTTTGATAAGGCATTAGGAAATTTGATTGCAAGTAGTCTGGGAGCAAAATGGGAGAAATTACAACTGCTGTTTACTCTTCTATGTTTTATCCATTATTTGAATTAAGAAACTAGTCAATTGCCAACAGCACCTTGAATTCTGTGAACCTGTCTAGCTCAAGTATTGGAATACCAGTCTGACCCAGAGACTCTGTTCTAATATCATGATGTCAAGCAGCTCTTGATTTCAAAGGTTCTACTCTCCCTACCCCCTTATTTTCACATTCAATATAGCTGTTGCTGGTTAGGGCAGAATTTTTTGCTCATTCCTAATTGCCCTTCAGAAAGTATTGATGATTTGCCTTCATGAATTGCAGTAGTCTATGTGCTGTAGGGAAGTAGGAAGGAGTTGCAGGAATTTGACTTACCCACCGTGAAGGAATAGCAATATAATTCCATGTTGGGATTGTATGTTACTTGGAGGTGAACTTGCAGTTGGTGGTGTTCCACACATTTGCTGCTCTTGATCTTCTCGGTGATAGAGATTATAGGTTTATAAGCTTCTGTCAAAGGAACTTTGGTAAGTTGCTGCTGTGCATCTTGTAATAGTATGCACTGCTGCCATTGTGCATCAACTGTGGAGGGAGTGAATGTTTAAAGTGCTGGATGTGGGGCCAATTAAGCAGGATGCTTTGTCCTAGATAATGTCAAGCTTCTTAACTGTTATTGGATCTGCACTTATCCAGACAAGTAGAGAGCATTCCAGCTTGGAGTATACTGCAGCACCAAGACCGGACCCATCCTTCGCAACATGGAGGACATGTAGAACCTCAGTATGTAGTGACTCTTGGTATTCGTATACAAAGGGTCTACACACAGCTTGATTCAGCCGTACACAAAGGTGGTCATCAGGATGAGGACAGCATTGGGTATATTCGTCCCCCTCTTATCCAGAGCTTTGTGCATGTGTGTCACTGCGGATACAGTCCATCTTTGACCTCCAGATGAAATGGAAGATGGCTTGGGTGACTGCAGTGGCACAGATTCGGGGAATGCACCATACCTGTGCCAGATAGAGACATACAAGATGATCAGAGAATTGGATAGGGTGGACAGTGGGAGCCTTTTTCCTCGGATGGTGATGGCTAGCATGAGGGGACATAGCTTTAAATTGAGGGGTGATAGATATAGGACAGATGTCAGAGGTAGGTTCTTTACTCAGAGAGTAGTAAGGGCGTGGAATGCCCTGCCTGCAAAAGTAGTAGACTCGCCAACTTTAAGGGCATTTAAATGGTCATTGGATAAACATAAGGATGATAATGGAATAGTTTAGGTTAGATGGGCTTCAGATTGGTTTCACAGGTCGGCGCAACATCGAGGGCCGAAGGGCCTGTACTGCGCTGTAATGTTCTATGTTCTATGCTCTATGTTCTATGTGCAGCAATACCGACAGTACCTCACACTTGATTTTTAACTGCAGTGCCCCCATAAGGCCAGTTTCTGCCACACCTTAGTGATACACTTCTCCCAGGTTTTGGCACACGCCCTGGCCTCTGCAAAGCATATACCCAGCACCTTCAGATAATCTGACCTGACACTGAAGGGGATAAAGGATTGGGTAGCCCACTTCCCTAAGAACACGGCCTTGATCTTGCCTCGATATACCTTGGCTCCTGAGGCCAGTTTGAACACACAAACATGGCAGAACAGAGTTGTTAATCTTGCCTGACTCCAGATTTGATCAGAAAGTTTTCAGGTTCCCATCCATTGATAGCAATGTTGGTGTAAAGCAGTCGGATCAAATTGCAGATTCCCTCCCCAAAGCCCGTTTTGGAGAGCACATCCCATATGTAAAAATATGATATCCTGTCAAAGGCATTCTCCTGGTCCAAGCTGATGAGGTAGATGTCCACCCCTCTGTCCTGCATGTAGGCGATTGTATTCCTGAGGAGCGTGAAGCTGTCAGAGATCTCCCTGCCCGGTAAAGCACAGGTTTGCTTGAGGTGAATCATAGATCCCAGAGCAGACCTGACCTGGAGGCGATGACCTTGGATCCTTGCATCCATCAGTGAGACAGTTTCTTATTCCCTTTCCACATTAGATGAGGGAGATGATGTTCTTCCTCATGGATTCACACTTGCTTCCAGCGGCATACTGTTGTATGCCTCTAGCATGTCCTAACCGATCAAGTTGCACCCAGCTAAATAAAACTCGGCTGGTAAGCTGTCAGTTCCAGGAATTTTACTCCTCTCAAAGGACTCAAGGACCTTAATTAGATCATCCAGAGGTAACGGCCGGTCCAGTCTCTTCCTGTGCCGTTGTCTGTGATAGAGGACAGGAATGATTGGCAGGCTGCGCTTTCTGTGTAAAATTAAAACACATGGGATTGTGTCTAGTGTATTGAACTGGATAGAAAGCTGGTTTGTAGACAGGAAACAAAGAGTAGGAATAAACAGATCTTTTTACAAATGGCAAGCAGTGACTAATGGGGTACCAATGCTAGGATCACAGCTATTCAAAATATATGCAAATGATTTGGATGAGAGACCCAAATGTTAAATCGGATTTGTAGATGACACAAAGCTGGGTGGGAAGGTGAACTGTGCGGAGGATGCAGAGATGATTTGGATAAACTGAGTGAGTGGGCAAATGGATGGCAATGCAGTATGTGGATAAATGTGAGGTTATCCAAAAGAGGCAGTGAACAAATAAGTGAGGTGTGTGCAGGCAGTGAAGAGAAACCTCATCCTCTATCAGACTTCCTCTCAACCTTCTTTTATTAAAGGAAAAAGTTCCAACTTATCTGATCTATGTATGCAGCTGATATAATTGTAGATCCATATCTTGTATGCCTTAAAACAACATTATTTAACTTCTCAATGATTAAAATAAAATTAGTAGTCCTCAGAAACTACTTCCCCACTGTCAATAATCCAACATTCATCTGTCCCTCTTCTCTTATTCCTGATCAGCTTCGAGAATGGTTCGTTATCTCCTTTATGTTTCTGATTACATTCTTCTCATGTCTTGTTGTTGAACCACTGCTACTTTGTTAGCTATCATCTCCTTGATTTTATGGTTCCCTTGTTTGGGAAGATTATGCTCATCTTTTCCAACCTAATGTCTTCTGTAACATTTTTTCATCCAAATTGGTTTTACTTTACTTTTCATCATCATTTAACTGGGTTAAACTGCTTCTGCCACGTGAAAGATATCCTGTTAAAACTTGACATATTTGAATGTAAATAGTTCTTTGGATTTTACTATTTGCCTACAGCATTTCTAATTCATTACTTCTAGCTGCAACTGTCATTTATTGTGCAATGCATTAACTTGATAGGCAGTCTTTGAGACTAGCCAGAGTTTAATTGATGTTTGATGTCGGAAATTTGCATATTGTAAGAGCTTGAAGATTTCTGGCTCCTTTGAGGTCTCATGTCCTGAAATTGAACTTGTTTTTTTGAACATTCAGAAAAGCTTGTTTAGATTTCATTCACCTCTTAATAATTGGTTAACTTGAATACATTTACAGATTGTGCAAAAAAAAACCGATCCATCAATGTCCAATGGCCATGCAAACACACCATTGAAAGTAGTCCTAAAATAATTTTAAAAGCGGTTTTCCTTCTTTTACAGCAGCATTTCTCCAGACATCTTCATTTTTGTATAAACATTGTCTTCTGTAAAAATAATTTCAAAGAATTGTGGCCCAGAATTACTTTGTGCCAAAAACTACTTAAGTAACAGTAAGCCTGTCATAGGAGTTCCAATTAACTAATATTTTATCAGAAAATGTTGTTTTAAAGTTTATAATATTATGTATATCATATGCATTCATTTAGTTTAGCAAAATGAGTGCCATCTGTAATTAGAAAGCTGTTCAAATTTCAGTAAAACTTAACATTGGGATAAAA